GGTGTGATGGGGACCGTCCCCTGGCGGTGTCCCAGCCTGGCTGAGCCAGGGGCTGTGACGACACTGCGCTGGAGCCCGGCCCTGGGCTGGTGCCGGGGGATGCCGCGCTCTCGCCTGGCCGGGATCCCTGTGTTTAGTCTGGGATTCCCCTCGCCCCGAGCCCGGTCCTGGAGGGTCCAAGCGTCCCCTCCCCCTGCCCGGCCCCGCGGAGGCTGCTGGGGCCCATTACTCGATCAGAAAGGAATTTGGTGCTGCTTTCTGAGCACGCCGACTCCCTGGAGCTCCCAGCCACATTGGAAACACATGTGCCCGGGCTGGGGCAAGGCGGGCTGGGGTGATGTGATGCTCCCCCCGCATCGGCCACAGTGGGGGGGTGGCAGGCAGCAGCGGGTGCCCTGGGTGCTGGCACCCGCGGGTGCTGGTTTGCCTGCTCTGGTGAGCAATGGGGCCGTGCAAGGGCAGCAGGGCTGCAGTCCCTTTGGTGGGGTGATGGGGGATCCTTGCTGGAGTCCCCCGGCTGTGGGAACCCTCCTCCCTGGGCTGCTCAGGGCATCTCATCCATGGGTGCCCCACATACGTGGAGCCCAGGGGTTGGGCAGGGGCTGTATAGATTGGGTGGAGGGATTAAAGCCTGTGGAAGAGGGTAAGTGATGCATGATGCTGCCTGCACCCACTGTGACATGGCTCGTCCCCACTGGTGGGGCTCGTGGTGATGTTGGGCTGTGAATCCCTGGGGGCACCCCCGGGCATGCTGCTGGCCCCAGCATGGACCCGTTGGCCCCCGGACTGGAAACCTCTGGATCGTCCATCCCAGTGTGGGGTCAGGCCATGCCACTGGGCTACGTTTGAGGCATGTCTCTGTTTCTGCGGCAGTGCCCAGGGTGATGGGACCCTGCCAAGCCCCGGCTGCCCTGGGAGCACCCCTGGGTGCAGGCAGCAGCACCGTGCTCAGGTGCCACCCTGCAGGGCAGGCTCCTGGGGGAAAGAGCAGGCAGTGGGTGCCCCCAGCACCCCCTGGATCCTCAGGCAGCGACACCGTGGCTCTGCCCTACTTGTTTTCTCCTCGCTGCAGCCAGCTGCATCCCACCCTGCAAGCCCCCAATCGCTGCCTGCAGTCCTGGGCTCCCCCAAACTGCTGCCGTCAACCCCCATTCCTGGGGGGGTCACAGCAGCTCCCTGGGCCGGGGCTGCGGTTGCAGGCAGAGGCTGCGTTTGCCGCCCTTCCCCGGTGCAGGCAT